AAAAGCAACAAGGGGCTGAGACTGTAATAGAGAATGTAAACAATTCACTCCACGTTGGAGGAGCTTGTGTAATTACCATTGTATTTTGAGGTGGGGGGGGCACAGAGTCTTCATTCACAGTCTAGTCAAGTCTTGGCCTTGTGAGCATAATACCTCAGGTTCCTAATACACATTGTTGATTGAACTGCAGAAACTGAAAATTAAAATGGTACTGCCAGGTACCTTAAGTTTGAGGCATACAAGGTTATGTTGCTCAGTCATAAACTGTTCCCGCTCCTGCTGCATCTTCTCAGTCAGCTGCTTCACATGCTCCTGGTAACTGTTTTCCTTCTCTTCTAACATTAGAACATGCAGTATTTGCATTGTTCTCCATTCTCAGTTTGTAGCCTTAGCAGCTTCAACCTTTAAACGTTCCTCTGAGAAAAGAAAAAGCAAAGAACATTAGAAGTGAAATCTATTAGCTGCTTTTGTCTACTGTCACTATAGGAAAAAAAATTCTATCATTGACAGAAATTTCCTGTGGAATCTTTGCCCTATAAAACCAGTTAACAAGGAGGGAGATGGCCACATCTACCGGTTTAAAAACAGCCAACATGAAGCTAAAAGAGACATTTGTCATTCTTTCTCTGTAACGACAACCTCATATGTGAACAGTCCAAGAGTAAGAATATAGAAACTTGGGTTCCAGAAATAGGAACCTAGAAATAAAGAAATATAAAGTTGTAAGCCTAGGAGAATGAGAGCATACTGTCAGCAGCTTTCTCAGCAAATTAAGGATTAACTATTGACTGCACATTACCTTGCTTTACTACTGGCAGCTGTCTGCAAGGCTTAAATGGCCCTCTGCAAACTGAGGGTACCACTGCAAAGTGAAGGTCAGCTTTTATATAACCCCCCCCCCCAGGCCAATCATGACCAGCAACTGATGAGAGCTGAGTTAACTTTTCAGTGATGGGATGTATGTGACTTTTGATTTTGCATTGTCCCATAGCCTTCCCTGCTATGCAAAACTGGTAGTGTCAGGGAAGTGCAGAGCTTCAGTCAACACCATGAAAAAGTGACAGAAAGAAACAACGAACTATATGCAAACACTAGTTTAACTGAAAAACCCTGTTAATGGAAAATGTAAAAGAAAAAAATAATTTCCAACATCTGGAGTCTTCTCAGCAGCTTTTATGTTCAATCTCCTTTCACTTTTCTTATTTATTTTTATTTTTTATTACTTTATAAATAATAACAATCAAAATTTCCACTTCCTCCCCCTCTCACTTCCCTCCTGCTCCCCCCTCCCCCTCCCCCTCCAGTCCTAAGAGAGGGCAGGGTTCCCTGCCCTGTGGGATGTCCAAGGCCCTCCCCCCTATATCCAGGCTTAGGAAGGTATGCATCCAAATAGAATAGAATCCCCAAAAGCTAGTACATGCAGTAGAGACAAATCCCAGTGCCATTATCATTGGCTTCTCAGTCTGCCCCAATTGTCAGCCACATTTAGAGGGTCCAGTTTGACCCCCATGCTCCTTCAGTCCCATGTCCAGCTGGATTTGGTGAGCTCACATTAGCTCAGGCACACTATCTCAGTGAATGGAACAATCAATCCCTTGTGGTCCTGACTTCCTTTCTCATATTCTCTCTCCTTCTCCTCTTCAACTGGACCTTGGGAGCTCAGTCCAGTGCTCAAGGTGGCGGTTTCTCAGAAAATTGAGTCAACCTACCTCAGGATCCAGCAATACCACTATTGGAATATACCCAAGAGATGCCCTATCATACTACAAAAGCATTTGTTCAACTATGTTCATAGCAGCATTATTTGTAATAGCCAGAACATGGAAATAGCCTAGATGCTCCTCAATGGAAGAATGGATAAAAGAACTGCGGCATATCTACACGTTAGAGTACTACTTAGCAGTAAAAAACAATGACATCTTGAATTTTGAAAGCAAATGGATGGAAATAGAAAACACTATCCTGAGTGAGATAAACATGACCTAAAAATATGAATATGGTATGTACTCACTCATTAGTGGATTCAAGCCATAAACAAGGGACATTGAGCCTATAGTTCACTATCCTAGAGAAGCTAAGTAATAAGGTGAACGCAAAGAAAAAACATATATAGATCCTCATGGAAATTGAAAGCAGACAAGATAGCCAAGCAAAAGTTGGGAGCACAGGGGTGGGGGTGGGGTGAGGAGAAGTGGAGAGGGGGAGAGAGAAGGGAGAAAGGGAGGGTTGGGGAGAGCTTGGGGAGTGGAATGATGGAGATGGAGGAAGGATGTATATGGGAATAGGGAAGGAGATATCTTAATTGAGGGAGCCATTTTGTAGTTGGCAAGAGGCTTGTCTCTGGAGGGGTTCCCAGGAGTCCTCAGGGATGTCCCCAGCTAGGACCCTTAGCAGAGGAGGAGAGGGTACCTGAATTGGCCTTGTCGCATAGTCAGACTGATAACTATCTTGAATATCACCATAGAACTTACACCCGGCAATGGATGGAGATAGAGACAGAGATCCTTTTCCTTTTCTATGAGTGACCAAACCATCTTTAGAAGTGTATCAGCAACACCCTGCTTGGACTTAAAGTACTTTTTCAGCATCTCTTCAGCCTAAATGTCAAAAGAAATTACAATCAGGAAATAAGAGTGTGAGTTGAGACAAATCATGGCATACATCTCTTATTCAATTTAATACTATCAGCTATAAACACATACTTTGTGATTCAGACAATATTTCAAGTTTAAGGTTTTAAAATAATGCTGAGGTCCCATCAGACTCAATCATTTTCAGTTGTTCAAACTTTACTAACAGGTGACTCCATTTATCTAGTTGTATCTTTGATGTCTTATTTCCCTCAAAGTATTTATTCCATATATTACCATCAGCTAATAATGTTGATTTTGGCTTCAAATTTTTCTTTTTTAATTGAGAAATTTTTGTTGTACAATAAATTCTGATCACATGTGCTCTTCCCCCAAGTACTCCCAGACCCTGCCCATCTCATATCCACCCAACTCTGTGCTTTTTCTTCTGTCCCTCTTTATAAAACAAACAAGTGAACAAAAACCAATCCCAAAAAAGGAAAGAAGAAAAAGAAAACCAAGAAACTGACACACACACACACAAGACAAAACCCACTAAAACACAAAAATGGAAACCATAATACAAGCAAAACACCACCAAGATCTTTTTAAATGCCCCCCCCCAAAAAAAACAATATGATACAGAAGTTTACAATAATACCATTGAATTTGTTTTGTTTTACCTATGGACTTCCCGGCATGGGGCCCACCTTGAAGTGATAACTAGGAACTTTTATTGGAGATCTGCTCCTTCCAGTTCTGCTGGCCTAAAACCTTCCCTCCTTGCAGAATGACTGCTGTGGATCATTTTCAGAGCATCCAGAATATTGTCATAATAGTTCAAGGAGGGCCATTGTGGTGGTTTGAAAAAGGATGGCTCCGATTGGTTCATTTACTTGAACGCTTAGTCACAGAGAGTGAAAATGTTTAGGAAGGATGAGGAGGTATGGCCTTGGTGGAGTAGGTATGGACTCTTAGAGGGAGTCTGTCACAAGAGCTGACTTGTGGTATGAAAAGCCCATGCCAGGCCCAGTGTGTCTCTCTGGGGCTGCTGCCTGCAGCTCAGAATGTAAAGCTCTCAGCTACTTTTCCAGCACCATGCCTGCCTGTGAGCCATCATACTCCTCATCATGATGATAATGAACTAACCCTCTGAAGCTGTCAGCAAGCCACAAATTAAATGATTCCCTTTAATAAGACTTCTCTTGTCCAAGGTGTCTCTTCACATCAATAGATCAGTATGTAAGACAGTGATGCTTAAACCCCTGCTGACTTTCTAACCTATCCAAATAAATATCAGGTCTCTTTAAGAGTCCTCCAAGACATTCAATGCCTTGTCCAACCTCTGACCTGTCACTTTATGTCCTGATAATATTTTCTTTGCCACCAAACAAACAGAAGTTTTAAAAAGCATCAATTTATTTTTATGGAATATTTCTAATTTCTGGTATTTCCATTTCCTTCATAGCTATTTGTCTCTCTAACTTCTTTTTCTGCTACACTTTCTTGTTGCCTTATATCAAGGATAAAATATACTGTTTTGTATATATTATTCTTTTTACAGCAGGAGTAGGACTAAATTCTAGTTAAAATCACATAACCACATGATCACTAACAATGGTTTCAGAGCATGAATATGGCCTGGAAAAGATCACCATATACTAAGGTTCTTGAGCACAACAAAGGAAAACCCTTGAACCCAGAACACAAACAAGTCATTAGAGTGTCTATTTCATTTCTTGTATACAAAAGGAAAGAAATAATTAGCAACTTTAAAGCCATTAATGTTTGAAAGTAATATGTAACTAAATCTAATCTTACCCATTATAGGCTAAGTTGAGAAGTTTAGAGCCGTTGAAGGCAAAACTAGGTAACCTGGATTTTCATTCAGGCTGTAATTGACTCATTGAATATATGATCTTGTGTGAGGTTTTAACTTCACTCTACCACACTTCCTTTTCTATTTATGAGATAATAATAACAAATGCTTGGTAGAATTGGCATCAGAACTCAGTGGATTAATTTCTAGAAAACAGTAGGACAATCTATGTGTCAACTGCCCTTATTACCATTATTACTAGTCTGTGAGCTAGCATCACATGGTGATTGTGAGGAAGAACTTTGTAGCTGGTTTGGTTTGTTTATTCCATAAATTACAGTAACCCTAGCACCCTGTGAAGTACTCAATACATGAGAATAAATGATGATTAGATAAATAAATGAGTGAATGAATGAATTCCACAAACAAAATGAGAGATCCAGTTGTACTCCCAAAGAAGAAGCTGCTGTCTGTATCATGATTGGCTTTCTGTGGATGGATGTGTGGAAGGGCACTCTTCATCAACACCATTGCATCTTCCTTGTTCTCACTAGAATTTGAGGGAGATTCCATACTACCTTCCCAAAATGGTACCAGCTAACTCAGTTTACCTAAAGCCCCTTTCCAGGTGCCTGGTTATAGTTTTTCTCCAGCTCATGTTTCCTTTGGAAAAAGAAGTAATAACCTCCTGGTTTATAAAATGTTCCCTGTTTCACTTCTTCTTCTAGATAATCAAAGATATCCTGCAGCAAATCTGAGCATCGAGCTGATGACACATCCATGTTTTTCTTAATAACAGCATCTCGCCTGGCATCCAGCAGGGCCTGGACAAGGACAAAATCACACAGATGGTTGAGAGGAGGGCCATAACACAATAGACTACTGGAGAATGTCTAAATGGGACCATGCTCTTTACCTCACTGTAAGATCTCATGGTATCCCTACAGAAAATGGTCCTTTAATTTGTAATTTCCTGAAGGCATCTTCTTGTTCCCCTCCTGCTGCCTACCTTCCTGATTTAGTATGTAACTACCATAGCACAGATACTATTTCATAGAAAACGTTTGCCTTTTCAAGTCTCCAATTTTAGGGATAGTTCAGATCAGGTTCCTGTGGGAATTTGTGAATCCACCACTCTGTTTTTTTTTTTTTTTGGTGTCTTAACATTCATAGACCAATGATCTCTAGTCTCTGAAAAAGGATGAGCAATACTAGTTTTGTGGAATGATGCTTAAAAGAAATGCCACACTAGCTCGGAATTGAGAAATAGACGATTTTTTTATTTAGGCGTACACTCACAAATCAGAATCCTCTGCATGAACAGAGATCAGAAAATAAATCCTGCAACCAGAACAGAGAGGCCAGAAAAGAGGCCAGACACATACTCTACATCAGCATATATAGTATAAGAAGCTAAGCCCCAGTGTACGGGTAAGCACTGGCTGTAAGACTTCCTACAGCACCTCCCCATTTTGTTTAAATTAGAGAGTTCTAAACCTAATACAAAATTATATACAATAAGAACAAATATGTTCAAAAATTATCCTATCCTAACTAGTTTATGTCTTATATAATAAATAACTTGGCCAAGTCATGAGAGGAAAATAACTAAAACTATCTAGTCTTCAAACCCATTGAAGATCCAAGAAGGGAAATATTACTAGAGTAAGCAGGAAGTACAAGCAAGCAACTTCCAAAATGTGCAAAAAATGACAGAGACAACTGCTACCTAGGCAATCACCCAAAGTCTCATTTGCAATGTTGAAGCAACCAACTTTGGCTAAGGCCTAGTGTAACTGACATACCATTTTCAGAGGCAGGAAATTTGTCAAAACCATCTTACGCTGTCTTGGCAAGATTTACAGTTTTGCTTATCCATTTCCTGATATCATGTACCTTGTCAGTGATTGAGGCATGGGCGCTTCTTTCCCCAAGGGTCAGTTTTGCCAAGAAGAAAATGAGCTCCAAGTGAAGTGTCTTTGTGCTCAATATTCTGTTGGGAATAGACAGGAGCAATCCTCTTTCACTTCAACTGATGCCTAAGTTATTTAAATGCCATATTCTACAGCTCTTTGAAGTGGTTGAAGATTAACTATCTATGCATAATATAATTTCTATGTATCTAAAGAACCTGATTAGTCTAACTATGACAAACATAAATGACTATTGATATATAATTCTTAATATCTATATAACTTAAAGACTAAGACTTCATATTAGAATATTATATAATAAACAACTGTGCAACAAGTGAGGACAATGACTTCAAAATGTAAACAATGTATAAGTATCTTGATCAGAGGTAGAAATGTACACTGCAATATGCTAAATATATAAAAAATGTTTTAATCAGATGCAGAAGCATGCATGCACACAATATTCAATATAATTAAGCTTTGTATCAATATACAAGCATCTATACCAATGTAATTGCCTATAAATAAAAGCTCACAAATGTTCACTCTATTACTCACTATAATAGATTAATGTGAGTAAGTCCCATGTTGGGAGCCAAATATGAAAGGATGCTTAAAAGAAATCCCACAATTGCTCAGAATTGAAAAATAGATGGTTATTTATTTAGGGGTAAACTCACAAATCAGAATCCTCTGCTTGAACAGGGATCAGAAAATGAATCCTGCAACCAGAACAGAGAGGCTAGAAAAGAGGCCAGATACAGGCTCTACGTCAGCATATATAGTATAAGAGGCCACACCCCAGTGGGTAGGTAACCACTGGATGTAAGACTTCCTACAGCATAGTTTCAGAAGTCCCTAGTCCAATTATAAGGTAAAGCAGAAAACTAAGGCCAGAGGCTTTGCTAGAAGTACTCAGCAAAAGAAAAAAATACTTTTTGATATTGTGACATTTTGCTTGGTTTTTGTCATTGCATGTAAAAAGAAATGTGAAGATGATAAAGATGGGCATCTCACCATTTAGAAAGAATCATGGAATAGAATATCTACATATATTACTCCCTGAAAGTAATTTATAAATGAAGATGCCTATTTCCTACTGACACTATCTAGCTTCATTTTATCTCTTTTTTTTTTTTTGAGATAGGCAGTCTCTCTGACTTTATTACATGGAGATGCTGGCTAGCACAGGAAATTAGATCCCAGGTTAGCACAGATACAGATTTATTTTGATACATTTCAAAATACATGAATTTAACTTCCAGAACTTATTTCGTGTCTGGATGTGTTGTTGTTGTTGTTTTGTTTTTTTGTTTGTTTGTTTGTTTGTTTTATTTTGGAGACAGGGTTTCTCCGTAGCTTTTGGTTCCTATCCTGGAACTAGCTCTTGTAGACCAGGCTGGCCTCGAACTCACAGAGATTCGCCTGCCTCTGCCTCCCAAGTGCTGGGATTAAAGGCGTGCGCCACCACCGCCCGGCTGGATGCATATCTTTTTTTTATTGAAAAAAAAATTTCTGCCTCCTCCCCGCCTCCCATTTCCCTCCCCCTCCTCCCACTCTTCTCCCCTCCCTCTCCAGTCCGAAGAGCAGTCAGGCTTCCCTGCACAGCGGAAAGTCCAAGGTCCTCCCCCCTCCATCCAGGTCTAGGAAGGTGAACATCCAAACTGGCTAGGCTCCCACAAAGCCAGAAAATGAAGTAGGAACAAAATCCCATGAGCATGGAAGTCAGGACCACGAGAGGTGCACCCACCAACTGAGACAGTGGGGCTGATCTATTGGGAGCTCACCAAGGCCAGCTGGACTGGGGCTGAAAAAGCATGGGATAAAACCGGACTCTCTGAACATGGCAGACAATGAGGGCTGATGAGAAGCCAAGGACAATGGCATGGGGTTCTGTTCCTACTTCATTATATCTCTTGACCTTAACTATCATTCTAACTATCAGTAAAGTTTGGGCTTACTAATGAGGAAGAGATCATCACAGACTAAACATCAATGTATTTTTATAATAAACAGAATGAATTTTTGTGGAAAATTTGGTTAACTATTGCTATCTTTTATATCAAATTCTTGCAGAATCTAGTCTTTCAATAACCACTGCAAATCTGTTCACATTGTGGGATGTCAGAGTATTAGAGACTAAGGACAATGATCATTCTAGAAAAGGCCCATGTGTTACTTTCTTATGATTTGGGGTACCCTTAATTCCTTCTGGAACTTTTGATCTACATCCTTGAAAGAATTCTTCCTGAACAAATCAAGAACCTCACTCTCAGTAGGCCTCTGCATGTCCAACAGCGCCTGGAGGGTTTCTGTGGGCAGCTGGACCTTCTGTTTCATCTGTTGTTCATAGTGCTCAATGGCTTTTTGTACTGCAGCTGAGTTTTCTCTCTGGGCCAAAGCCAAAACAGCATTCTCTATGAAGGGTAGTTCTCCACTGTGGATGGGCATTGACACAGGTCTACACCAGGGTCTGTAGACCCACCCCAAAAAAAAAGTTTTAAATAACTGTTAATTGCTGGACAGAGTACATAGTTTTTAGGATTTTCTGAGAAAGGACATCAAGGAAATAAAATATTAACCTCTAGGCCCAGAGGATATTGAAGACTGTTTTTACCTCTGCTACATTTATCCCAGCAATAGAATTTGTTTTGAAACGATCATGGCAAGTAACAGATGGTATGAGACACTATGTCTACTCATTTTCTCACTCTTCAATTTCTATTTTTTTCTCATTATCTTTCCTTTTTCTCTTATTAAATGGCCAAAAGAAAACTTTCTCCTTTATCTCTACTTTTGCTGTTATTGCATGTTTTTATTTCTTTCTTTTTATTTCTTCCTTCCTCTTTTTATATTTAGCAGTATATATTAACTACTTCTTTTTTCCACTATGAAAATGAGTCTATCCACATTTTTTTTCACAAAGCTATAGAATAACCAAGACATCTAGGATTCCCCCACATCATTGTTGTTTATAGGCCTAAAGGCACCACATCCCAAGAACCAGTTCTCAAACAATTTAGAAGAATTTTAGGACCTTATTGCCTAAGAGTTCTCTGTGAGTGCATCCTGTACATTTTTCCTGTTTATATAATTGAAATGAGTCACAGATTTTCTTCATTTTCTTAAATCTCCAATTACATGTTGGGTGTGTGTGTGTGTGTGTGTGTGTGTGTGTGTGTGTTTTGTTACTCATTTTAAGAGTCTAAAGTTTCTCAGAATTCTATTAACCTTGATACATAGCCAATGAGGGCCATGCATTTCTGTTTCTGATTCTCCTGCATAATTAAGGTTACCCTTGCAAATATAAGATTACAGGTTATCAAAGACATTCTAGTTCAAGGGGTACTGGAATCAAATGAAGAATGTTGTGAACATAAGTAGTAAACCATTCTACTATCTGACCTACATTCATTGTCAGGAATTTGCATGATTGCATATTGTTCCTTATTATAAATATCAGGGGAAAGTAGAGACTAAGTTACCCAAAAACAAACAACATCACCTACTCCAAAAAAATTCTTCCTCCTGATATTACTATCTCAAGAAAGAATACAACATGAAAGAAGTGGTGAGCTTCAATCTCAGCTGATATATTTATAGGTCCTTCTCAGTCCTACCACACTGTCATATTTCATTATAAGGAAAAACTTTTGGATTTTATATCAAAATATATTAGCTGACATCTCATTTTGACAATTTCTACTTCCATAATTTGAGCCTAACTCAATGACCATTTAATTCTACTCCATTAAGCAGAGAGTTCATCTTCTCAGTCTCTCCCTTTTAGAACTGAAAAGTATCACATGCAAAATACTGCAGAGTTATATGTGTAATTAGAGACCTTCCCACAACACTTGGAGCCAACTATAGATTACTTAAGTCACATTACTGGTCTATCATGACATCACCACTCCATTGTGGCTATGGTCCCAAACTTCTCCAATGAGAGACACTCCTTCCATTCTCTTCTTTCAGTCACACAACTCTTACATTCCTGAAGCTGAAAAGTTGTGTCTGGCCTTAGGCTTTTCTCTATGTATTAGTTCCGTATGTTGCTTTTTGGTGACTTTCAGTTAACATGCTCATTAGTAGGGATCATGAGCAAAGGAAAATTTTTTCTAGGACTTCCTTAGATTCCAGTGACCCCTTCATTGCTATCACAGGTGTAAGACTATAAAAAATAGATTTAGTTCCCAAGTAAAACTCATCATGTTATACACACACTGCATTTTCAATGACAGCATCCCTCAGTATCCTACAATGAGCAAAAGAAAATCCCATGTAAGAAGTAGAAGGGGGTGACATACGTAGCCCATTGACTATGATGCCACCAGACAGAGTCTTGACATTGGCAGGGCTGAAGATGTATGGGGTGAATTCTCCAACTTGTTCTACAAATTCTTCACTCAGCTCTTCCTCTGGAATTGTCTCTAGTTTGGAAAGATACTTCTGAGCAGGCCTGTCAACGACAAAGCACTTTCTCTTTGGAAAAAACTTTCTGATGCATAGCCAAGACTCATTTAAATTTTTAGGTTTCTTAACAGTTCCTTAAGGAAGGATAAAATAGGTAAAGTAAATTTCAAATATATTACTGAAAATACATGACCCTTTCAATATTATAACTTCCCAAATTCAAGGGAGAATGTGATAATGTGAGATGAGCAATACAAAAATTAAAGGATGGGAAAGGAAACTCCCTTTCTCTATGAAGTTGTGGATGGTACAGTTCAAATTCAGGCAGCTGTTTTTTTTTGTTTGTTTGTTTTTCCATAACTGCACTGAAGATGGCATAATTATAGGATCAAGAACTTTACTTATCAACAATGCAGAAATGACCCTTATGCTATTGTTATCATTGTATCTACAACTTCCATTGAGCCCCTTTACCATTTATCAGAGCCAGTGAATTCTCCAGGTACTCATCAGTGTCCACATAAAGACTGGAAAGAAGTTAACAAAGTTGGCTGAGTCATCCATGCCACACTGCTCAGGTGATGACTTTGATTTGATTAGATCAGCTAGCTCTGTCACACAGCTGGGATGCTAAGTTAAGGAAACTACAGGGAAAATGCCATTTTTATGATGTAGATTCCACTATTACCCATCAAAAGTAACTTATATTTACTTGTTAGCTTATTCATTTTCAATAGTCACTCAGTCACAAACATATACTTAATGTCTTCTATGGAACATTCGCTATCCTGGGGAAAAAATTGTAAAGTCAGCAACAGAATGCTAATACACAGACTTTATGTCTACCTGAGGGAGACAAACAATAAATAAGTGAATGAAAAAACAAAAGAAATTATCAGATACTTCTAAGAATTATAATGCAGAAAAATGAAATAGTCTATGAAATAGTGAATCAATGCACACCTCTTTATGGGGCATGAGCACATGGAGGGCTTCAAAGGGTGTTCACTAAGGTCCTAGGCTATCAGGAATCAAAATGAATTAACAGATATGGCCATGGGGAGTAGAGTGGAAGAATATTTAAAACAGAGGTCACATCACTTCTAAACTCTTACCTAGGAAACATGATGCTTTAGTGAGTAAAAACTATGATTGCCGGCGTGGTGGGGCAGAAGGCCCAAAAGACATACATGTGCCACCTTCAAGTTAGACAGACTTTAGTCTTCTGTTTTAATTTCACTAAATAAAGACTCTGGTAGACTTTATGTAGAGAAGATATGACACAGCATCATTTCTGAAGATCACACTGGCTGGAAATATACCTGGGAATCAAAAGTTTAAGCAAAGAATAATTTGGGTGTTGACAGGTCCAAGACAAGAGACAAGGAAAGCTGAAACTAGAGTGTTTTGTGGAAGATATGAGGAGAATCTGTCAATCTAGGGATATAGGTTTGCTAATGGAACTGAGAACATTTGTGGAACATTTGTAGAAAATGGTTGTGTAAACTGATTACTATGTTTTGGATGTGCACAACTTTGCAAATGATGAAAAACTTTAATGTAATAAGAAACATGGAGGAAGTAGAGATTTTGAATATTTTGACTTGGAATTGTCTCTTTGATATCTATATGAAGGCACCTAATTGCAAAAGATTGAACATTGTCATGACTATAGTTTATAAACTTGAAGCAACTGACATAGATGACCCAGAAGGCCTTGAGATTAAATGACAGCACCTAAAGACAAAAAGTAAAACAAGGGTAGCAGAAGCAGAGTAACTGAGTTATACACTTAGAGGAAACAGAAATAAGAGAATTTAAGCAGTAAACAGAAAAAGTTTACTTGTGCAGTAGGTAGAATACCAGAAAACTTAAAAACTCTAGATCTAAGAATCAAGTCATACAGAAAGAGGAAGAGCTAAGTTTATAGCATCTGCTGTGAAACCAAATAATAAAATCACCCACGGGGTAAAGGAGTTTATTGAGCTCAATATTTGATGTTAAAGTCATGGAGATGGAGCAAGCAGTGACAATGACATAGAAGAGGTCAGGATGGAAACAGTGGAAGAAGATGAGAGAACAGGGTACCACATGTAAAGAGTGTCTTCTAGTTTCTAGTCTTTAGAAAGTTAGTAGACTTTTAGAAGTTTTGCCAAAAAAAATGTTGTGCTGAGTGGATGGTTGGAAAAATAAAAGACTGGACATAGAAGTGTTGTGCTATGAAAGCCCATGCTTCAGAGACTCTGATCTTCTTTATATTGACATGAGAATGAGAAACTGCTGCATAGTCTAAATAAGAGGAAGATGAATACCTGTCTTTTCTATGCTTCCATGACATGCAAAGTGTAAGCTAAACAAACAAAAGAACCAACAAATATACACTACCTCAGAGCACCTGAGAGATTGTATATATCAAGCAATTGGATATATCAACGACAGCATGTAACTGGGCAGTTAAATGGTATTGCTTAAAGGTGCTCATAGGAATGCTGATTTGCAGGGAAATAAGTTTTAACTGATGTTGAGGATTTGGACATATATGGAATATTAATACAGACATGGATTTTCTGAGAAGTATGTGGCTGAGTTTAAGGCCGTATTGTCCAGGAAAATTTGAACTTGAAGTGGAGACCAAGATAAACCAGATGGTAAGGAGAAAAGGAACCATCTTTTTTGGGGTAACTTTTGCCACAATCCTAGGTGCAGCAGTTTTGTATGTTCCAGGGTAGGAGCATGAGAATTAGAAATGTTAGGTAAGAGGAACAGAGAAGAAAGAAACAGAGAGATGCAGGATAGTGATAGAAAGGCAAATCAACAAATACTGAATGATGAATTTTGAGTGCTGAGTTTGCCTGCATTTATTTTTCATACACTTTTATGCCCTGATACAAAAGGGTGGAAGAAGGCAAAAGACTTCTTTAACATGATGCAAGAGAAAATAAGTACTGTTACTTATTTCAATACTTTAGACATTGATCTATTATTTCCTGAGGAAAGTATTGGAAGTTTGGGGAAATATACAAGTGTTCTGTAGGCAGCCACTCCCTAAGTCAAACCTCCTATTTCGAAAAAAGGAGAAGTAGTATTCTTGAATTCTATGACCTTAGGTTAGGGTGTAGCAGATCTACTTCTATGGGCCATCTTAATGTCCAAAACCTTCAGACAAGGTGGAATAGGCTCACATTTTTGGGTCTCCACACAAAACTATAAGCAAGTCTCCAGTAAATACTTTCCTTTATAAGGCTGGCCTTGGTCATAGTGCCTCTTCAAAGCCGTAGAATAGTAATAACACAGTTAATATTAGTTTATCCTTGTTTGTTGTTCTCTCTCTCTCCATGATGCCACTGAAAGTGAGCCACAACATGCAGTATTTGTCTTTCTATGCCTGCCTTTTTTCCATGAATATATTGTCTTCTAGATCCATTCATATTTTCACAATTGGCAGCATTTTTAAGGCTGAATAGTGATTCATCATATGGATATGAAATAGATAGCATATAGATTATAGACAGTTAGATGGATAGATAGATAGATAGATAGATAGATAGATAGATAGATAGACAGATAGATGATAGACATTCTAAGTAGACAAAATAATTTAATGTACTTTTATTAGTAACCAGTAAAAACAACATGGTCCTTACATAAAAACAGATATATAAACCAATATAAGACAACTGAGAGAGATAAGACATAATGAAATTACATCTCTGTATTATATTTTCCACCTAAAAGAACTAAAAATGGATTAACCATAAGACCTGGTATTTTAAAATCCTTAAAACAGGGGATAGATGAAAATATTTGAACAAGTTGGGGGGAAGCCATATAGCATTGGATTCATGATGATATTTTACATTTAGTACCAAAATCATAGAACAATAGTTCAGTGAGACTATAGCCAACCATAAACTTCCTTTACAGTAAAGAAAGCACTTGATCAAATCAAAGGGGACATGTCAAATGAGAGAAAATGTTTGCAAGCCATATACTGATAAGGACTTAAAATATGAAGTCAATGAAGAACTCATACAATAGGGAAAACTAGCATGCTTGAAATAGCATGCAATTGCCCTGAATTATAATTTTCAAAATAAGATATTCAAATGGCCAACAAGCATTTTTACTCAGTTTTATTAATCTTTCATGAAATAACAAACTAACACCACAATGAGGTGTCATCTCACTTCTGTGGCCATGCTTATTATAACAAGCTCAGATGTTTTGATTGAGTTACCAAAAGATTTTGTAGATCTCTTAGTGAAATGGAAAACTGATTACAGTCACTATACATAACAAAATAAAGATTCCTCAAAAAAGAGAATTCTGAGATTCTGATAGCTGACCTGCCAAATCTATCAATGAATGGTAGTATGGGCATAGGCAATGTGTTAGGGCACTGGCACATTACACTTGTCTAGTGCATGAGAGTGGGAAGCACAGCTACTTAGTTTATATATCCTGATATATATAAATTGAAAATCTAGCCAAGTAATGCTGAAATGATTATTGTGCCAGAACTGAATGCTCAATGACTGCCAACCATGAACTTGTCTTCACCTTGATTAGTTACACCAGTACCTAGTACTTACCACTCTAGCCGAATTCTACAAGCAATTGTTTCTGTCATTTCTCACCTTTACTCCCTTCCGGGGCACTCGCTCATAGTTCTGCTCCACCTCCTTCCTGGCCTCTATGTAGAGACTGTGCCCGCCAGGAACAGAGAAAGCTCCACTTGAGACACTCTTCCTCAGGGACTCTGCAAGCTTGTCCAGCTCAGCCTGGCAGTGACTAACAGATGCTGCTTCGTTCTGTTGCATGAAAGCTTCCTTCCTTTCTTCTATGACAGCCTTCCAAGTAAGAGGGGAAGACAGAAAAAAGCTGTTAGAAGTAAGGTGTGATGGTTTGAAAGAAATTGGCCATAGGGTGTGACACTAATAGGGGGTGTAACTTGTTGGAATCGGTATGGCATTTTTAGAGGAAGTACATCACTGGAAGTGGGCTTTGAGGCCTCTGATGCTCAAGCTACACCCAGTATCACAGTTTACTTCTTGTTTCCTGTAGATCAAGATGTAGAACTCTGCTACTTCTCCAGGACCACGTTTTTCTGCATGCTACCATGATTCTCACCATGATGAATAATGAACTAAACCTCTGAAGCTGTAGGAAAATCTCAATAAATGCCTTATTTTGTAGGAATTGGGGTGATAATGGTGTCTCTACATGGGCACCTAAGAGAGAAGTTACTGCTGTATTTGTTCTGAATTAAGCAATGAGACAGCTCCAGAGTGGACTGAGAAAGGAAGAGGGTCAGGAATTCCTACCTAGTTAATTTGGGGTGACTTCTGGGAAGTCTGTCAGCTTCCTTGGGTTCATAAACAGCAGCTGTTAAATCTAGTTGGAAGACCTAAGTCTATTTCCTTTGAGAATAGAGGTTGGTGTAGCTGACAAACCAATTCTTCAGAGATGAATAAGAGTACTCTTAGAAGAGCTTTAAACCTTCATAAATTTTTTCAGTGATTACTTGAGTGCCGGTATTCTAGAACACATGTGTTTTGTTTCTTTACATTTTTCTGCTCATTAGTGATAATCCTAATTACTGTCCTCAATATGATCTAAAAGATTTTAGTCTTTTAGGGTTCAATTTCAGATAAATGGAAGGCCAGAATTTTTCAGCAAAGCTGCCTAATAGTTTATGATAATCCCCTGAGTGTTGTTTCTTGGTGCCAATGCATTTCTCACCCTGGGCTGGTGAACATGATGGTAATTTTATATTACATAACACAAGGAGACCTAGAACCCAAGCCCTTCAAAATGTAAGTTTTGACTGCATGTGGTAGTAAAAGAAATCAGACCATGTAGAAAAAATAGAAGCCAGTGATGTCTTGTGTGTAGGTAAGAGGAGAAGGCTTCTACCAAAGCCTGTAAATCAGTGTTATATCAATCAGATAACACATTTTCTGTTTTTAGTGCATCAAACAGAGACCCACATACTCTTGCTTCAACTCTCTTTTGAACTATGAGCTAATTAAATGTATACTGTTTCAAGGTACTAAGTACATGATAGCTTGTTTCATATAAAAATAATGAAATGTTATTGCTTCACAAAAGGGAAAAGTCTAATGCAAAGTGTTAAGTTATCCATAAAATTCTCAATGAGAAAGATTCAGTACTTGACCTTAAAAAAATGTGGAGTCTAAGGGTTGTATCAGAAGAACAAGGATCAGGCAAGCCAAGTGCTAGGATGTGTTACCACCAGTCTCCTCTGGAACTCTTGCTCGTCGTCCTTGAAGGAGTGCTCCATGAAAACAGCAATGGCTTCCTTCTCACAGTCTGCATGTACATCCAGAAGCTCTTGGAGAGTGTCTGTTGGGAGCTGCAGTTGCTGGGCCATCTGCTCACTGTAATGGTCAGCTGCCTTCTGCACAGCTGCTGAGTTCTCACACTGAGCCAGGGTCATCACCGCATTCTCCAAGCAAGGCACAGACCCACTATTGATGGCATCCAAGTAGGTCTTCACCAGAGTCCCCAGTCCTAAGAAAAATATCGTTAAGAACTGGTCCATTCTCACTAACTGTTATTTATAACTTTTAGACCTAGTGTTATCAAAAGCAACAAAGTTCTATTCAACATGAATTTCTTTTCTCTTCTCACCTCTTCCATTCTCTTTTCATGTCCTCTCAGAATCAATGACTATTTAATAAAATTGACTCCTTTCCTCTGCAGTTTCCAAATTCAATACATTAAAAATAATCAATGATTCTAAGAGGTTTCAAGACTTTTTACAAGGAAAAAAACACGCTACAAAAAAAATAAAAGTGTGTTAGAATAAGAAAGCAAATTTCATCTTTTGTGAGATCAAGTTCCAAATGAAAATTCAAGTACCTTCAGAAAACAAAAAGTCAAAAGTTTGAAGAGAGAATACAGAACATGAAACCAAGTATGAACCCATTTGAGCAGAGACAAAACATGGTTACACAGGCAGAATATCTATGGTGTTTTAATGTTTAAACTTGTTTCTCTAATGGCATGGGACTCTTGACCTGCTGTGTTCTGACCAGTGCCAGCCCCAAAAATAATCCGTATAATCAAACTGAGCCACTCTTTCAGGGGGACTCCAAGTCATCTTGCAGATTTCTGTCCACTCATCTGGACATCTTTATGGTATTACCTGTGTAACACAAGCTAGACTTCAATAAACACTCATATACAGAAAGTTCAAGTATGAAACTCGTATATGTGATCTGAACATTTGCTTTCTCCATATTCCTTTATGTAATCATACAAACAGTTTCAAGACCACAAAAGAATCATCACTTCATTACATATTCTAAGCCATAGGGATGTGCCTACTACAAAACAACTCACGGTTTCCTGTGACAGTTATCTTCCCTCTCAACGTCTTGGTCTTTGGTCTTGATCTTGTTTCAACCTAGAAATTCAAATCCAGTTAATTTTCTGGAACTTTTTCATTTTGAAATAGTAAACTTTTGTTCCTTGTAGACCAGTTAAAGACAAAACACCTTTGTGACAGAAAGATGTATCTGATGCATTCTCTAGTTATGTTGGACTTTTGGACTTTGAGATTGTTTCCTGTAAGAGAAAAGGGGAGGAAGAGGTGTATCACTCATTGAAATGGCAGCTGGAAGATAATATGATTAAAAATGTTCCAGAATGTTTTCAAGGCAGCAGCTCCAGGCCATCTGAATGACTGTGCCAACAGCTCTAAAGTAACAAGTGTGTTTGGAGACCTCACAACTTTGTCCTTACATTAGACTTGACATTATTTTGCAGAGACACTCTGTAACATAAATTAACTATTTAACATAAATATTTGTCTAAATAATAGATAAAGAATAACAATATTGATTCTAGGTACTTATCTGTTCCACAAAACATAATTCATGTAATGAATTTGTAATGTTAACATGTCACCATATTGCATAAGTTTAGAAGGTGAAATTTCAGTGAATAATGAAGTATTGCACATTAGTAGAGGCATATATCTTCTTCCCCCACCCCGATGCAATGAAAGATATACACAGAAATCCACTGCAAGGAATAACTACTTGAGCTAGTAAAACATCTGAGTAGGAAAAGTTTTTAAATTGTGTAGATTTTTTTGTGATTTTTATTTTTTTCACTTACTTATTTGATGAACCACTTTTCTCAAAATAGGGCATGAAAAATATTTATACTAACAAATAAATAAATAAGGCTCAGGAAGTATTTGCCTTGATTGTAATCCTTATCTATTTTGTTTTGTTTTTCATTAATTCTACAATTAATTGATATGACATGTCCTAAGATATAGTAGGTTTATATCTTGGTTTCTGAATATATCCAAGTAATAATGATTCTTAAAATTATGGCTACTTGCCAATTGTCATGACCACTAACAAATGTTTCGGTGCAGTCTAAAGTAGATATGTCAAGTGCTGAGCAGCATTTAGTGAATTCTACATCCCTGTTGACACTTCCCTTACACAGTGATACCTGGAGTCAGTTTCAGGGCATTCTCCAGGTACTCATCCGATGTGATGATGTGCCCATCAAACTTCGGCGCCAGAGTGAAATCCCGAACAGTCCAGACAAAGTCTGGAAAGAAACCCACAAACTCACTGGAATCCTCTACTTCATCCTCTCTGGGGCTGGCCTTTGCCTGGATTAGCTGTGCTAATTCAGTCACATAGCTATAATTGAAACTTCCAGTTATCATGTTGAATCAGTTATTAAAACTATTCCCCTTTGTCCTGTGTCCACTCGATATCAACTAAGACTTTCTGACTGGGACAAGGGAACAAGCAGTAAGTTGCCTTCCTCCTAAATTCAATAGAACATGTTAGTTTGGTCCCTGGAAGGATACTGCAGCTGCTCCAGGGCCTGGTGGTTGATGGTGCTCATGCTGTTGTAGACAAAGGTGCTGCTTAAAAGTACAGCCGGGGCAAAGATCCATGAGTCATTCTTGGGGTCACCCTAGCAGACACATGAGGACAAGGGAATTAAGAGTCTAATATTCAATCATACATCTAATTGTTCTTCTTTCTTTCAGATATATTATTAGTGGATCTGAGAGAAATAACAAAATTTGAAGACAATTCTATATCCAATCCTCATTACTCACACTTAAACTGGCTCCTCTCAGGACATTAGCTTCTTTAGTTAAGTTACCTGAGAGAGGGAGGATATAAGTCAGTGGTAGGAAGCTGGAGAGTCATGCACAAGGTCCTGGATTTGGTTCCCAGAATTGACTGAAAATATGACAAAATAGTCAATGCATATAAATATCTAAGGACCTGGAACACAGTAGGTGATGATAAATAGGCAATAATGCGTTTAACAGTTTTACACAGTTATAGACACAATTCCTATTCATTTAAGTACAGTTATTCATTTTGCTTCTGACAAAATGCAGAGATACATTTGGTGGCTATCCATTTCCATATAGTTGCCTTCTAGAAGATGACTTTCTACAATACCAAATAAGTATACCAACATGTAATTACAACCACAGTGACACTGTCTGCCAGAAAGAGAGCCAAAATTATTAATAATAGAAAAGCACATAGAGAGTATGAGTTAATCTGATAATTTAGAGAAAATAATCAGGTAAGTAATCAGGTATATTCTATCTTATCTTTTCTATAGCACCAAGACCCTCTGTGTCCAGAAGAACTAAGCTATGGGTTGACTTGGTGGGGTGAGGCACACAGCACATCCAGATTCCCTTGGTTTAGACTGCACTGTGAAACCCAAGGAAAAGACTGAAAGGAAGAGGAACAAACAGAAAAGGTCAAAGCAGGAAGACCAAGGTAGTAGAGTGCTGAGAATATTTAGCAAGCAGCAAGGAAAAGGTTTGCTTTTATTTCAGTAAGGACCATGAATTCAGTCCATAAATAATACTCTTCCAAGAAACACTTGTGCCTTCTACTTACCTCATTTTTCCAACTCCTTAAAATGGACTACAGTAAAGAATTAGTTTAGACTCTTTTAATTCAAGATTTTTTTATATGAGTCCAAAAACTCCTGTGTCCTCTTACTTCTGCTAGGGTTTAACCACTGAAACACAGGAGTCAATGGCCACCTAGCAGGCAGACTTCCCTCACTTGTACTCTCATGAGACTTATTTCTCACCTCTAGTCTCAGTTCCTTTCATGAGGATCCATCCAATATTTCTCATGTCACATGTTGACACTCATTCTTTACCTGCTCCTTTGGAGTGAGGAATGATTAATTCCTACCTGGTCATTCATATTGTGACTTGTCAAGTGCTTGCTCACACCTGTTAGCTTCCTTTCCCCTCCCTGCATCACTGTGAACAGAATCACCATTCCATATCCTTCAATTATCCCATGAGTACATGCTATAGTTTGGATGTGGAATATCAATCAAAGGCCCATGTGTGCAAGGCTTGCTCCACAGAATGCTAAAGTAAATAATTCTGTAAAAACTTTAAGAGATGAGGCCAAGAAGGAAGTCTTCAAGTAATTAGGGATGTGCCATTAAAGGAGACTGTAGAATTCTGTCTTTTTAGTATTTATGTTGTTTTGTCATTGTTGTCTTCTTCATGCCAGGCTTAAAACCAATAGAGCAGCATGGCTCTGTCGCATGTTTCCTGCTAAAGTTTACTGCCTTTCCCCATTAAACCCTAGCACTGGGACTAATTATCCAGGTGGTAAATCCTCCAGCAATGCCAGCCGAAGCAAACCTTTGTCTTTGTCATTGATTTTTCCCAGGCTTCGGTCATCATAATGGACAACTGACTGGCATAGTAGGCATCATGCCAGGCCTCTGATGGGAATAATAGCTTTTGGCTTTGGTTTTGTTTTGTTTGGTTTGGTTTTGATGCCTCTTCCTCCCTTAGTTTATTCATTTGCTGAGCTCTGTGCCTCACTGCCTCATCAATGTGGAATAATCTAAGGGACAGAGAAAGCCAAGTGACACCTTGTTCTTTATTTTCAAAAGCTTAAACCCACAGTTCTACTTTTCCTCAGAACAAGTGGACAGTGGGCTGTGTCCGTTGCTCCAAGACTTTGCCCATCTGGCATACATAACACTTTCTTTCTTCAACCAAAAAGAGAAACAGATGGCATATAATTCCTAGTTTGTCATGGTTCAGCATTGCCACACTGTGTGATCCCCACAGGAGGAATGGTAAAGTCTGCCTTTTTGCAGACTTCTGGACCTGACTTCTGTTGAATCACATGGGGAGAGACTGCTGCCTGAGTGACTGCTGTAACATGTTAGATGTGATAGAAAACAATTTTTCTCAGTCATATGGGGTAAAGTATTTCAAAGTGAGTCACACACAGAGACAAACAGTGACATGAACCTGTTCCTGGACACGGTTTGGAACTAATCTCCTTCTTTGCTATTGTAAAACTGGAAAGTCCAAATATAATTCAGAGTGCCAATAGAAAATTACCTTAGCTACCAACACTATCTTGAGTAGAAAATGAAAGCAATACTGTTGAAATGTCCCAGTATAAAACCTGTGTCTTAGGACTCTCAAATGCAAATCACTCAAAAGTTTACAAAGTTATTTAATCCAGAAAAAGAAAAATACTTTCCCCCAATTGATGGTCAAGAGTTCCTGTAATAGGAAGATAAAAAAAAAAAACATGGGTTGTGTGAGAGGCAGAAGGATGGGAAGCAGAAAAACGTTAAGGGTGAGGAAAGTTGAAGGACAGGAGGAGAACAGGAAGCAGGTGACCAAAGGGAGGATAGGCAGAAGGAAGAAAGGAAGGAAGAAGAGATTTGAGAAAAGAGGAGGAACTCTGGAGAGCTGCATCCAGATGGAAAAGTTTTGCCATCAAGTTTAACCAGAAAAAATACTGAATCACTGATGCATAAACTAAGTAACATATTAGGAAGAATGCTGCTTTTGGGCTTTTTAAAAATGAAAACCATCAAACAGAATCATGATAAGAAAGAAGAGATAACTTATTAGGGGAAAACAGCATCCTTTACAAACTAGGAAATAAAGGTGTCAAGATGCTCCATGTAATTTTTAGTAGATTAAATAGCATACAACTGTGAAGTGCATAGGTCAGAAAAATTAAAGATGTGTCTTATGTCCTGACATTGGGGTATATGTATGGAATGCAAGAAATAGCACCAGTGTTCATCAAAAATAAGTGAATAAATACTATGGTATCCCCAGACAACCACATGCTATAAAGTGGTAGAAATAAAATATCGATATGTGGGAAGGGGGACCTAAGAAAGCTGGGTGCTGGTCACATCCTGGAGTAGCTGATCTCTTTGTTACTGTCTGGTGATTGTTGTATGGAAATGTCTGATATCTCTTACACCTGCTTAAGGTGAATCCTTCAAATTGGCTCTCAGGAACTCACAAGAATTCTTTGGGTTTTTGAAAACATAAATTTTAGACATATGCATTGTATAAATAGTAGCATATTTATGTCAGAATGACTGTAGCAGATGTTTTTGCATAATGAAAAGTACCTTTAAGACTATGGAAGGCAGCATGAGAGAGAATGTTGATAGCTTGTATTTGTTCTTACACCTTTATAACTTGAAGGTGTACACCCTAATAACTTGTATTTGTGTTTTACTAAAATCTGTTTGATGAGGTTGTCCTTTTAAGCTGACAAAACCACTCAGCTGTCAAACTGCATCAGAGATCACTGAGAAGTATAAATTTTTACTTGAGTTACTAATTAATAAAACCACAGTAAACTTACCTGGTTGGAAGCTGGATGGGAAAAACTCACCATCAAAGCTGCTGGTGTTTGTAGAGGTTGGTGTTTAGGCAGTTGGAAGGCAGAGCTGTTGGAAAGAAACCTGGTTCTCAAGCCCAGCTGGGCTGCCTGCAGGCAGGAGGGAGCATGGAGAGCCTGGTAGAATCACAAGCACCAATGTTGTGCTTAAAGTAAAATAGTGCCATTCCCCCAGTGGCTGCAGTGGGCAGTGGGCCAAGAGGAGCAGAGAGCCACATGGTGGGTAAGAGACCTAACCAGTTGGCACGACATGCAGAGTGAGGTTGGATATTTATTTAGTGGATTATGGAAGGAAAAAGGGAAAATGGAGAAGGGGAGAGGTAGGAAGAACAGAGAGAGGCAGAGAGAGAGAGAGGGCGGGGAGAGACAGGAGAAAAGGAAAAGTGAAGAGAACGGAACAAGGCAAATGCTGACTCTTCGGGGGAGAGGCAGAAAAGGAAGGAACTGAGGTTGAAAGTAAAAGGAAAATCTGCTTGCCTTTGCAGGTGAGGGGGTTGATCAGGGCTTGTCTTTTAAAGGGACAAGACAGACCAGTACAGTAGTGAGACAAAGATAAAAATAGAGATATGTTTCAGAACAGTTGAGGCTGTGGTCATGATCCTTGGAAGAACAGGAAAAAAAATTATTTTGAGTTCCCCACTCTGTGACCGTAGAAGTCATTCTAAAACTGTAAGAAGAAGAAAAAAATTTAAAATATTAAAAATAGGGAGATTAGAAAGTAAATACAGTTGACTAGAACATGATTCGGGCAAAGAAAGCCTTGGTTCTGGTAGGTGAAGCTTCTATTTGCACATCATTTCTTCATGAAGAAAAAATTTTCTCTGCCACCATTCAGTGGTCTTTCTCTACTTATCCAGCAGCCATGCAGCCTTCCCACACTGAGGACTGCCCAGTGTCTATACATGTAACAAATGACAGGGTTCACATTTCCTTTGTCTATGAACAGCATGAAATCCAAGGAGCACAGAACAGTTGTGAAACTCCACTGTGTCGAATGGATATATTCATATTTTTCTCACATTTACAACATGCCACTCTCAGCTTAGGACAAAGCTAAATCCTCAAATTGCTTATGAGTATGCAGCAAAGAATATCTATAAAGGAGTATGTGTGATATAAAAAAGTGTACACTAAGAGACCTATCATACCACTACATTATTTAAAAAAAATCCAGGCCAGAAAGTCATCTACCCCGCCCCCGAAGCTTCTTTCCCTGCAATCTCCATGGAGACCAATACTTGGTGAACATAGGCGGTGCCTTTGGCATTCTTAGCACTAGCAGGGAGCTGGGCTGCCAGACAGTCATCTACCATACCTCCAATACATAGTTCCCTGTAAACGCCAAGGAGACCAATACTTGGTGGACATAGGAGGTGAGAAAACAGTGGCCCTGGGACGTGGGAACCCTACTCCCTAAAACCTCCATATGGGAGAAAGGCCAGGGGCACCCCTTCCCAGGTGCCTTTGGCATTCCTAGCACCAGCAGGGAGCTGTGCTGCCAGATAGCCATCTACCCCACACTCAAGGCATCATTCCCTGTGAGCTCCATGGAGACCAATACTTGGTGGACATAGGAGCACCAGCAGGAAGTTGGTCTGCTAGACAGCCATCTACCCTGCTCCCAATGCATCATTCCCTGTGAGATCTGTAGTGAGCAATTCTTGTTGGACATAAGAGACATAAGAGTTGAAGGAAGAGATGGGAAGGAGCCAATGCAAGAACTCCTCCAATATCTTAAACAGCAACATGGTACCACCAAAACACAGCAGATACACAACAGGAATACTTGATTATTCTAATCCAGAAGATATAGAAAATGACTTTAAACATTAGTTAGTGAAAATGATGGAGACCTTTAAAGAGGAAGTGAAAAACTCCGTTAAAGGAATGGAGGAGAAGACAAACAAAAAGCTGGAAGAAATCAATAAATCCCTCAAAGAAACTGACAAAAACCAAGGAAAAGCAATCAAATAGGTGAAGGAAACAGTTCAAGATTTGAAGATTGAAATAAAGGTAATAAA